CATGATAAAATTCTCAGTTAAAAACTTCTTTTTCTTTCAAATATAAACAGAAAAATCAACAATCAGGACTGGATAAACTTTAAACCAATTATTATTCCTTAAAGAACAAATCAAAGATATTGTTCAGTTTAACATAAAATTATGTACTGCTTACCACTATTTTCGTGCAATAACGCTTAAAATATGTAGAATAAAATAAGAACAAAATGAACTTATCACCAGCGCCCTTCTCTCCCTCTCAAGTCCGAATTTCTTCATTTTTAGCCTAGATTTACAAAGCTACTTTCATATTTTAGATTATTATTATTTCTTGGAGTTTTCACGGAGCAAATTGTAGCCCGAACCTCCAGTTCTTCAGATTGTCGAAGTAAGTTTTGTCAACTCTCTACTTTTAATTGAAAAATGTCTTCTTATGATGCATGTGTGTTGAAGGTTTTTATTATGAGTAGCTAAATTAATTAGGGATGTGATTATTGGAATGGTGATGGTAATTTTCTGAGAAAATCATTGAGTTGAATTATATTATTGTCAAGGCAAATTACTAGTTTTTATTACTGAGAATTTAAACTTGAGATTTGTAAATCGAGAGAAGGCAAATCTATTCTTGAAAATTATATTTCTTGAGAAATCTGGAATTTAATTAAGTCAAGCCCAGTAATTTGATAATTGATCTTTAGACATTGGATTGATTGTTAAGTAAATATTTGAAAAGATACTTACTTACTAGTAAAAAGATTTAAAGTAAAAGTAACCGGTGATTTTACTCTAAAAAGAATCATCACCTCACCAATAATTACATCCCTACTCTTTATTCCTGAAAGGTAAAATTCAATCTCCACTCCTTATTCGACTTATTGAAAACTTTTCAATTCAACGAGTAAATCTTGTCTAGCTAGTCTTACTAAACTTTCCCTTGGGCCGATCCTTGAGACGACACGGGATAAACTGATCTTTTAAAGGACTAGTATGTTCCCTTTACTACTATGGGAATTTTGAGTTAAACCAAAATTCTTCACCAATCATGATGATGATGATGATAATAATAATAATAATGCTCTATCAATAATGGAATTTTATTTAATAGAGCTCTATACATAATAATAATAATAATAATAATAATAATAATAATAATAATAATGCTCTATCAATAATAATCCCATTTTGTAAAAAGAATATATAAAAAGAAAATAAATTTTATTGGCATGCTTATTTAATAGAGCATTATTGATATTTCATATACATTAAAAAAATTCTAAGTCTAATAAAAAAATATGCTTTATTTTAAAATTTGCAATTTTCATTTTAAAGTTACTATTTTCCATTAATAGCTTTATAAAAGAATTTAGATTTATGCCAAAAAATTAACTATCTTTCATTAATAACTTTCTAAAATGGTAAAGGTTGGTACAGTAGTATTTATATTTAATACTCCGTATTTGTCTTTCTTCAAAAAAAAAAAAGGTGAGACTATGGATCGCTAGTGAGCTAGTCATCAAAAGGATAAGATTTAGGCAGTTCGTGGCCTCATGCCGTTTCATTCCTTAAGATAAAGCTCCCAAGATCATGCTCACCCTCTCCAAACAAATCCCTCTGCCCCTCACACAGTTCCCCTCTAAACCTCACCGCAGCCCCTGCCTACCTTTCACACTAGCTACAATTAAGGCCGGTGCTTCCGGAGATGATCCGTCTCCGCGGGCTCCGAGCCCGGTTGGGATGCGGTTCCGGACAGGGCCCAGAAAACGAAGACAGATGCAGCAGGAGGTCGGTTCAGGCGACGGAGAAGCGGCGATGAGAGCAAAAACGCCGCCACCGGCTAAGGATCGGGAATCGATGAGCCTTGGGGAGAAAGTGGCGGAGATTTACATGGGAGAGAAGGGTGTTCTCTTCTGGCTTAACAAATTCGCTTACGCTTCCATCTACATCGTCATCGGAGCATGGATAGTGTTTCGGTTCGTCGGCCCCGCCCTCAATCTGTAGGACCTCAGGCGACTGTATCAGTTGGAGGTGCCTCCCTTGGCTCCAGAATCCATGATTAAGGGTTCATAATAGTAAGCTCGATCAATTTCGGGCAGGTTCGTAAATTATAACAGAGATTCATCGCTGGGGGGGGGGACAATTTCTTGGAATGTTGATCCAAAATGTCATTTGTTGATCCAAATTGAAATTGAGATTAAGTGCTGTATTTGCAGTCTTTAAAACCATGTGTAATTTGTTGGTCCAATTTGGCTACACATATTGTTCCATGAATGCCATAAGTTCTCGTATCCAACTATATACTCCTCGTATTCTTTTATGGGCAAATAGCGCCTTTGTTCCAGCAAAACACGCACCAATACTCCGTCTGTTTTTAAAATTCATTTCTAAAGTTCCTGTGGTTTTAAAATGCTGCACCCGTGCCCCTCTGATAATTTTCTGGTCATTTTTCCGGTAAAGAGGGGGCATTGGTGCATGTTTCATAAACCATCGGGGTATTGGTGCTTATTTTTATGTTTTGCATAATTTTTGTTTTTCCCATTTTTCCCTTATTTTGTTTCATTTATTAATAAAGGTTTTTAAAATTATTTTTATAATGTTTCTTAAAATTTAAAGTTATTTTTGTTAAAAAAAATTAAGATATAATGCATATGTACGTCTCAAATTAACAATTTTTGTTTTTACTAAAAAACGTAAATTTTTTTGAGAACTTCAAGAAAATAAGGAATAAAATAAGAAACAAAATAATACAAAAAAAATGAATATCCTTTTTGAACATATTAATTCTAAGAACTTTTTTATGCGTTTCAATTTTTTTTTTTGTATAAGAATTTTTTTGCGTGTTTTAATTTTTTCATTTTGTTTTTTCATGTTTTTATTTTTTTATTTAGGATTTTTTTGAACTTTCTAAAAAATTATTCTAAGTAATAAAAAGTGAAAATGTTTAATTTGAGATAGATTTAATATATGTTAATTTTTTTATTTTTATTTTTATTTCAAACACAGAATTTTAAAATTTTTGAAACACTAAAAAAATTGAAAATAAATTTTAAGAAAAATCTAGGTAAAGGAAAAAGAGATAGAAAATATTTTTAAAAAGAGAAGAATAGTAAACGAAAATAAGAAATGAATACGAATGCCCCTTATGGTTTAGAAACTATCCGCCAATGCCGCTATTCACCGGAAAATGGACGGAAAATGATCGGATGGGGTGTGGGTGCAACGTTTTGAATTTTGAAACCACAAGGACTTTAGAAATAAATTTTGAAAACAGAGGGAGTATTGATACTAATTTCCCAAACCACGGGGAGCATGGAAGCTATTTGGCCATTCTTTTATTACGAATTAAATATAATTTAAAATAATTAAATATTGTAAAAATTTTATATTCGGTATTTCAATACAACATTATAAAATAAACCCAAATTTATTTAATTTACGTTATAACTAGATATTTTTTTCTATAATTAGTGATCAAAGAGTGCTACACTTTTGCTTCATCATCCTTCATACTTGGTCCGTCCCTGAGTATTTGTCCACTTTTGACTTTTGGAACTGTTCATCTAAACACTTTGACTTATTAAATTCTCTCAATGTGTAAGCCTAAAAATAGTCATGTGTGATCTTGTTTGATTCGTCTTAACATATAGATTATTAATATATACTCCGTAACTTTTATAATTTTTTAATATACAAATTACAAGATAAAATGGATTAAAGAAGTGCATTGGATGGTGTGCAAAAATGAAAGTTGACAACCAACCGGAATGTTGGAATCCAACTTAAACATTCTAAAGTTTATTTTTGTTGTTCGTGCATATGGAGTATATGGAATTGAACTTCCCCATTAGCAATTAATGCGGTTTGGAATTCTCAAGAGTTTACCGAAAAAGAATTAAAAGGTCCAATTAGTAGGAAGTTGAATTCTATGAAATTGTTTTGGATGGAATTGAATTTTCTAATTCAAATTCATTTTTGGCAAAATCAATTCCAACTACGCATATTTTTTTGCTACTAAACAGAAAGAGTGAAATTGTTGTCTCCAAATCCAATTCTATAGTTTGAATCTCGTATACCAAATGAAGCCTAAAGTTTTGTTGGGCTTCCCAATACTTAGAACACTGGTAATACATGTGAAGCCCTAGGACTTTAAAACTTCTTTCTGTGCCACAATAGCTTTAACTAACTTCACAGTTTCACTGAAAATGGTTTGAAGTCCTGGGGGTTTAAATTGAGGTTCCAAACCTTTATTTTTTACATTTTTAATACACATCTTCTAAAACTAAATTAAACAAAACTTCATTTTAATTAAATTTAAATTGCAATAATTCATTAAAATAAAAAAAATTACAATCAATAAAAAAAGAATATTTAATAAAAAATACATTAATAAAAAAATAAGGCAAATTATATTTGACCTTTATCTCTTTTTGTCTTCTCCCGTAATGCATATGTTTGAAACTCGATAACGTATCAAGCTTGGTTTCTATTATTTCGATAGGGGTGGTGATATACCCGAGCCCAACCCTATCATGCCCTCTCCCGCGTCCCACATGCACCATCATAGAAACCAAAATACTTATATTCAAACTTCATGATCCATTTTAGTTTGAATTCAAAGGTCCTAAAACTCGAAAGGCCAAAATGACCATCGTTTTGACCCGAGGGTTCCGCTGCCAACCCCCAACTCCGTCCAATTCAACCCCAAACATCCAAAAGTATTTTATTAACTTTTTATATCCAAAATAAAGTTTTTTCGTTCCTTTTTACAGCCTTGAACAAATTTTAGGACTTATAGGACAAAACAAAAACTGTGTTTTGTTTTATTCCATTATTATCCCTTCATTGAATGATGCCTTTCCCCACTCTTCCCTACACCTTACCCACAAAATATCCTCCATATTTATCCAAAAAAAAGGCCATATCAACCCCAATCCAAAGCAAAACATGACCCACACAATAAAATCAAATCAGGAGTCATTGATTAGTTATGTCTGTTGTGCAATTTAATCAAAGACATGGTCCCATCACCTCCCTTTGTCCCTAGGCCAAATTCTGTTGAATATAAGTGAGCCCTAGAGGCCAACTTATGATTCCATATCTGCGATATATATCAAGAACAATAAGCCTTAAAGATTGTTTAAGTCGTCTCGTGTGATTTAAACATAGCTTTAGTCCATAGAGTAGGCGCTCTAGTAACATAGATGACAACTACGACGTTCTGATTATGAGGCTGTTACAAAAATAGAGGCTACGTCTAAAATATCCTCAGTCGAATATTATGACAATGCAGACATCATAATATATCAAGACTAATACGTATGAGATGAGATAGCTGCGTCTCATATGCTATAGATAAAGTGTTATCTGAATCTATATGTAGGCAAACATATTGGATACCCGTCATTCAAATAACTAAAATAATTAAATAAATTCAATAGTTTTATTTGTTAGTTTTTGAGGTTTTGCTTGCCGTACCAGTTTTGGGGGCAAGAGTTATTTTGTTTGTTGTCTTTGCTTTTGCAGATGAGAGAATTGTAGGGCATACCTTACAGTGGGAGCGAAGAAGAGTTCTCACCTGGGGAAAACACAATGTTTCTGCAACCTTTGAGGCTACTTGATCCAAAAGTCCTGGTTGAAGTTGGCTACTGAGAGAATATTGACTTTATGAGTATAGTCTCTTTTTCTCTACTATTTTGAACATGATTTGGATCCTTGATTGATTTTTATTTTGGAATTTCACATTATGACTCTTAAAACCATTTTTAGAAAATTTTATGCATTATTTCATATTTACATGTTATGGTTATCTATTATTTCAATCTTCATCATTGAATGTTGTAAGTATTTAGATAACTTAGTAATTGCATGTGAGCATTTCAACCATTAACTCCAATTCCAGAATACTTTTAACCACGAGGGCGTGGTTCCGTTTAAGTGTGAGGAGGTAAGAGTTCGTGGTTGAAATGATCTTTTTAGGAATCGTTTTGTCTATATATTTCTAGGAAAAGATTTTTATAGAATAGTCATCAATTTTAATTGTTTGATTAATTAATCTTTAGATTATCACCCGTAAAAATTGGAAATTTTTTAACTTTTTGTCAAACTTCTATTTCTACTCTAACCTTTTTGGGAATGTTTTCTAAAATGATTTGGGATAAATTCACAATTGTCTAAGAGTTTTTAAGATCAATCAATTTTAAGTTGCTTTATTGAAAATCTTTTTGCTGATGCTCTTATGAGTATTTGTTGCTTCTTAAAAAGAGTTATTTTTAGAGTATAAGGGGCGATGTTTCAAAGCATACTTTGGTGAGACCGAGATTCTTGTTTTAGCCAAAAAGCAGTTGGTTCTAGATCAACTGATGAGGCGTGGTGAGTATGCCGAAAAGCACGTGGTTCTATATTGCGTGATGAGGCCTTTTGAGTGTAGAGTCAAAAAGCATGCGGTTCTATGTCGTGTGATGAGACTTTCCAGAGTGAATATCCAAAAAGCTCGTGGTTCTACGTCACGGGATGAGGTTATAAATTTTTCTCGTGTCAACATGACAAAGTTATGCCAAAGAAAATTAAACCCTTACACTTTGACAATTACTTTTGCAAGAACATATTTTCCAATTTAGCCATTAAAAAATTATTTGATCCTTAAAATACTCTTACAAATGTAGTTATCCCAAAGAAAGTTTGGAAAGTTTTGGTTGTTTAGGTTGGTGTAAATATATTGGTTTGACAAAATTCTTATACAATATGGGCGAGAATCTAAAGGTTCATTTCTTCTTAACAAAAAGGTTGATGACTATCTTATTTCTTCTTTCCTTCATAATATGTAGCTTAAACCTTCCCTCTGCAATTATTAATTTCCCTTTATACTTGTAATTATTCAATTTGTTGCTTGAGGACAAGCAATGTTTAAGTGTGAGGAATTTGATAAGTCCGTTTCGTTCTTATCATTTACATCATATTCTAAACGTTATTGCACGTAAATAGTATTTAATCATCTTAAAAAATGTGATTTCAATAAATAAAACTCTCATTTTCGTTCTAAGAGTCATAAAATGAGATTCCACATGAAATTATCATAAATCATCCATTTTATGTTCAAATACTTGAGAAAAAGGGAATAACTCATCAAAGGATCAAGATTCGGGCTTGAACGAGCTTCCGGGAGGTCAAAAACAGTATTCGGGGCCAAAACAGAGCGAAACTGGGCCAAAATCACAAACCAGCCGCGAAGCCCAACAAGGGAAGGGCCTAAGGCGTCCAACTTGGACGCTTGGGAGTTGGATGCTTCAGCTTAATTGCAGCCCAAGAATGACACGTGGCAAAACCTGGTTGGCCGGGACACCTAAGGTGTCCAGATCTGGACGCTTGGACTTGGACGCTTTGACTTGGACGCCTTGGATCCATTCCTATAAATACAGCTCGATCCCTCTCATTTTTATCATCCAACTTCATCCCGACTTCGGGATTTACTCTTCCCATCTCCATTATAGTTTGTAGTATAGTTGTAGTAGTTAGTTTTGAAGTATTTTTGGAGGTTTTGACTCCAGATCTATTCTGTTCCGCTCTTACGGAGGTTGTAAGTTTTCTTTATTTAATAAAATGATGTTTTAATTTATGTTTGCATAGTATGAGTTAGGGTCCGGATCTCTGGGTCCGGACTAGTTTGGTTGTTTATTTTTTGATGTTAAATTAATGTTGGAATGGTTAATCTATTGTTCTTGCCTTATTTGGGTAATTAAACTTGAAGGATTTAATTGGCCATTTATTGAGAAAATATTGTATGCCGAAGGCTATGATATTCAAGTACAACGGATTAAGTACAAATCTAGAAATGGATGAGTAGTAATAGAAATATTATTATTTCAATTGTTAATTTAATATGATAAAATAAATCCAAATGATGTCCTGACCCTAGGTCCATATCTATACTTATACTATGTGACCTTAATTTATTATTTTTACTCTGTTCTTTTTATAATCGTTCCGAGAAGACTTTCATAAACCAATCATAATCTTCGCCTAATTAGAGTAATTAAACTAATTCCCTTCGTCCACTCCTCGAGAGATACAGCACTCGGAGAGAAAACCAACCCTTTACTGGGAAGGTTTACTACCCGAAAAACTACAATTGTCACCTCGCCACCTTAATGACACTGCTATTGTCCTCATCCCAAAAAGAAGGTTCCTAAATCAATGGGCGACCTACGCCCAATTTATCTATGCCAAGTTCTCTACAATATAATGAAGAAGGCAATTTCCAACCGTCTCAACCAAGTCCTTCCTTCTATCATTTCTCCATCTTTGGGTGCCTTTACAAAAAAATCACCATATCCAAGATAACTGTTGGGGACTTGTCGTGCGGTCCAAAACAAATTAAAAATTTATAAAATATCCTTAACTAACCCCCAAGATATAATCAAATAAAAACTATAGCTAGGGCAAGTAAGGGTCGATCCCACGGAGAAAATTTGTACTTTTTAAAACCAATTTAGCATGCAAACACATTGTCACAAAAAAAATAAAATTAACTACTACACGCATAATAAAACTTATAACTAAATAAATATAAAAACTTATAAATATAACTTAAATAAACAAAGAACTTATAATATAACTTATAAACACAAAACACATACTTAAGATATACTAAAAAGGTATAAAAACTTATATTTATAACTTATAAAAAACACTTATATATTAACTTAGTAAATAAAACATAGATACTTA